AGAACGTAGTTTGTTACCAGTAACAGACGACCAACAAGCCTGCCAACGGGTAAGGATGGAGGAATGGATAATCGGGTAAAAGTTGGAATAAGGAATACCTTTACAAGAGATGGGACAAGAGCGGACAGCTTCCCTGGCGGCAGCATCCGCACGCTCATTTAAAGAGACACAATATGACTGGGAACCCAACAAAACTCAACCGACTTAAATTTACTGTGAACAAGAAACAGCCAATGCTGGATCTCGACAACCACTGGATAAACCGGATTAAAGGACCCGAGAGCCATGAGGGCACTACGAGAGTCAACAACAACTACAAAAGAAGATTGACGAGAGAGAGCAGGAGACGAAGAGCATAGAGAATAGCATAAAGCTCCGCTGTGAAGATGCTAGTCTCCGGAAGTAAGCCACACATTTGTGTGTCGATCCTGTGTGATCAGGAAAAACAACAGAGTAGCCAACACCGTCCGCAGACTTAGACCCTTCAGTGAAGACGAAAACAGAGTGCGAGTGAGAAGAAAAGTGCTCAAGGAAAAGGCGTTTTAGAACCGTAGGAGGGGTAAAAGCTTTAGTGATGTGGGTCAAGGAATGTACAAAACTGCGGAAGGGGGGGACTCTCCACGGGGGGCAAAGAAGGAACAACACGAGGAGAAATATTAGAAATACGAACGGAAAGAGAATCCTGTAAGCGAGATAACCGGACAAAAAGAGGGATGTGGTGAAGAAGAACAGGAACCGCAGGAGGGGTAAAAGATAAAGCACGACAGGCGAGAGGAAGGATGTTGCAAGGATCGTGCAAGATAGCGAAGACAGTAGCGATCACGGCGGTCCTGGAGAGACAGGAAGCCAGTGTCTACATGCAAGCTGAGGACGGGAGTTGAACGAAAGGCACCAGAGCTGAGGCGCAACCCAGTATGGTGCAAAGCATCAAGACGGCGAAGAGTAGCAGGAGAAGCAGACGAGTAAGCAGTGCAACCATAATCGAGCTTAGGCAGGACGAGAGAGGAATGTAAAGCAAGGAGTGCGCGCCTATCCGCTCCCCAAGAAGTATGGGATAATACCCGAAGGAGGGCAAGGGCCTTAGAGCACTCAACACGGAGCTAAGAGATATGGGAGACCAAGACAAACGAGTGTCAAAGAATAACCCCAAAAGCTTCGCGGAATCTTTGTACTCAAGGGGATGACCATAAAGTGACAAAGAGGGACGAAGAACGACCCGTTCCGAGTAAAAGTCATGGCACAAGTCTTAGTAGAAGAGAACTTGAAGCCATGATCGGTGGCCCAAGACGACACAGCATCAATCGCAAGATAAAGCTGACGTTGAAGGAGAGGCGTATCATCACCCTGACAGCAAAGGGTAAGATCATCGACATAGAGAGCGGAGAAGATGCCTGAAGAAAGGAGGAAAGAAGACCATTGAGGGCAACCAGAAAAAAAAAAAGAGTAGTGCTCAGAACACTACCTTGGGGCACACCTTCGTATTGCTGAAAAGAGGCAGAGAGAGCGGTACCAAGCCTCACCCGAAAGGAACTACGAAAGAGGAATCTGCGGAGAAAAAGAGGGAGAAGACCACGAAGGCCAAAAGAATGAAGCTGGGATAGAATATGATAACGCCATGCATGTGGTGTCGTAAGCCTTTTCCAGGTCAAAAGGACGGCAACAACGGAGGTCTTCGCAGAAAAAGCAGTACGAATATAGACCTCCAAGTTCACCAGGACATCTGTTGTGCTGCGGCACTTGCGGAAACCAAATTGAGAAGGGGAGAGGTGGTAATGGTGTTCCAGGAACCACATCAGACGAACGTTAACCATACGTTCAAAGAGTTTGCAGACAACTTGTGAGGGCAATAGGGCAAAAGTCCTTAGGGGATGTTCCCAGAGACCCTACTTTGCGAACAGGGAGGACAACGACATCGAGCCAATCCTCAGGGACTGAGGATTGGCACAAAGACAATACAGACTCAGTAAATACTGAGACGTGCACAGAGGAAGATGGCGAAGCATCTCGTAATGAATGCCATCGGAGTCACTGCCGTAGAACCACAGAGGGCCATGGCAGAACGAAGTTCAGAGAGAGAGAAGGGATCGTTATAGGGAAGTCGAAGACGAGTGCAGAAATCGAAAGGACGAGATTCAAGGACAGGTTTACGAAGGAAAGATTGGGGAAGATGAAGACCAGAGCTAACAGAAGAAAAGTGGGAACCCAGTTCGGTAGCAACTTGCAACGGGTCCGCCACAAGAGTACCACGGAGGTGAAAGACCGGTGAAACATCGGGAACGAACTTACCCGCTATCTTACGGATACGCTTCCAGATCTGTGGCAGAGGAGTTTCGGACGTAATGGAGGAGACATAAGAAGCCCAATAGTCACGTTTAGCCATATGGATGGCCCTACGGGCCACCGCACTCGCCTTCCGAAAGAAAAGAAAAGAATCGGCCGTCTGCCGACGGCGGTCTCTCTTCCAGGCTGCACGCTTACAGCGGACAGCCCGAGCACAATCCGCATTCCACCAGGGAACGCACTTCCGTGGACCCCTAGAGGAAGAGCGAGGAATAGAGCGGAGGGCAGCGTCGAAGACAGTGTCATGAAAAAGGAGGAGAGAGCGAGGGAGAGGCAGAAGGGAGGAGTCAGAGAGAGCAGCACTGAGGGTAAATAGGTTCCAGTCCACTTTAGCAAACTGCCACCTAGGGAAGGAGAGGGAAGGGTGAAAAGAGAAAAAGGTAACAAGGATGGGGAAATGGTCACTGCCATGGAGGTCATCAAGAACCTGCCACGTGAAATCTAAGTAAAGACAAGACGAGCAAAGAGAAAGATCAAGACAGGAAAGGGTGAGTCCGAGAGTCCAAATGTGTTGGCTCACCAGAATTCAGTAGACAGGGAAGAGAGGATAAACGGCTCAAGAAGGCGACCTCAGGTGTTCGTCAGAACATTACCCCAAAGGGAATGACGACAATTGAAATCACCCAGCAGGAGCACAGGCTCCGGCAAGGAGTTCAGTAGGTGTTTCAGATCAGGAAGAGTCGACTTACGATATTTGTTGGTACACGTTCGGGTCGACCGAGCGCATGGTTCCCGGTCACACCGCCGACCTGCCTCAGTTTACTACATCTGCCCGCTTAGTGACGATCGCGCCTATAAGAAATTTCACTTTTGTGATTTTTTGCATTTTGAACATTAATTATTATATATCACGCCATGAGTCCCAGGAAAGTCAGTGGTAAGCCTCAATATATGAGATCCCATGTAAGGATGACCATAGAGCAGAAACAAGAGATCATTCGTAAATATGAAGATGGTGTGCTGGTTGTTGGACTGGCTAGGCAGTACAACAAATCTCGGTCAACAATATCCACCATACTGGCTAAGAAAAAGGACATTATGGGTGCTAAAGTGATGCATCATTACAGACAAATGTTAAAACGAAGGGAAAAACAAATCTCTTGACAAATTTGTAGTGAAATAAACAAGCACTGAACCACAACCAGGTCCTAGTGGTATTCAGGCAAAATGTAGGTGTGTACCCCAGAGAAAACATTACTGCCTGATGTGATAATGGAATGGGACTCCCCTTCCAAACAGTAACAACTCTCCTCCTCCCCCCTCATCACCATCTTCCATATGCCATCAAGAGCCCTCCATAAAGGTAAGATAAACTTAGGTACTGTATTGTAGTTAGAAAAAAACATTGTATTCAGTATAAAATGTGTATGTTAATATTTTGGAGGGTGGGGAATGGATTAATTCAAATCCCTTTATTTCTTATGGGAAAAATTGCTTTGACTTATGATCCGTCTCTGGGAACGGATTAGCATCGTAAGTTAAGGCCCCATTGTAGTCCAAAGGAATAACCAAAACAAGCAAAAGGTCGGCAGGAAACAACAAGCAGATAGAAGGGGGGGGGGGGGAGAAAAACAAAACAGAAGGAAAAGGAAAAGTCGTTCAGCACAATTAGAGAGAACAGCAGCAGGAGCACAAGGCCACAAGAGGACAGAGGACTGTCCCAAGGAGCATCACAGCCGGCAGCCGCCCACTAAGCCCCTCACGGCATCGAGCTGAACTGGGAGGGGGGGTATGTCTTTGAGGAAGAGTTCTCCATGCCTGGATGCAATAATCCAGGTAGGGGTACGCCAGACTTAACAGCTGAACGACGGCTACTACTACTTTTTTAAAATGAGCGTAACATTAGCATATTTCCAATCCAGAGAAACTATCCCAGGGTCCAGGGATTTTCTGAAAAGGAGTTTCAGTGGTATGCATAGTGTATTTACCAGTTCCTTTACGACTTTGGATTGAAGTCCATCCACACCTAGGGCTGTTAATTCTTAGTTGGTCAATGCTCTTCCTGATTGTGTCGCATGTAATGGGTAAATCCCTTAATTCTCTTCACCTCCTTCAAACATTTGTGGGTGATGGGCATGTCGTTCCGTCTTTCTAGTAAACATTGATGTAAACATTCAATGTTTGCTGCCCTTATATCACCCAACATTACTTACCGTCATTTCTTAGGGGTCCTACAGAGTCCATTACTTCAGGTGATGAGATAATCACCACAGGGGCCTTTAGGCTCAACCTCGCCAAGAGAGTTGAGATAGTCAAAAATACAGCCACGTCTGGGCCCATCTTAACCAAGGTCACAGATCCCAATCTTCCGTCGCTGTTAGACATGGGACTGGTTGCCCACCCCACGACCTTTTTGAGTGTTTTCAATTACCATGCATCATTGTTTCAAAAGTTTAGGATCCGAAAGATCCCAGCTACCTGGGCAGCAAGAGGGGCCAAGCACTTGTCAGTGCAGGAAGGAGCATGTAATTCCTAGCAGTGCCCCCGCCCCTTTATAAAGGTTTAAGTCCTACAGCTTCACATTCTCGTACACTGCTGCAAAGATGTCTCGCCCCTTCTAGCCCAAGCCTGAACAGTTACAGGCCCACACTACAGTAGCTGTATCACCAACTCCCTAGTTTGGTGGAGTGAGATGAAACAAAGGTAATAAATAAAACAAGTTTACAGTGCTGCAGTATTCATTGTTGACATCTGTTTATTAAGAAGCAAAATTATTCTCAATAATAAAATAAATACTATACAACATAACTTGCACAGATAAAACTACTCAACAAATTGGATCTGCAGCATAGGTGAAGTTATACTGTATTTGGCTTTAAATTCTCAATACTGATGTACTTCCTTGAGTTCGTGTACAAAGTCTTTTGTTATAATTTACTAGTATCATACACCATAAAATACACATTTCAACATGCATTAGACAAAAAACATTACATTTACCTCAAGGTTATACCATAGTTTACCTGTTTGCTCTTAAATGCTGTGCCCTCGTGGGAATGCCTCACCTTGACGGAAAAGCCACATGCAGAATCACAATAAATTTAAAATGCCCTTAAGTGCCAGACTCTTGAAGCATCTAAAACATTTGCAAATAGTTCTACATGTTAATTAGGCTGCAATAAAGGTGAAAAAATTACATGCTCATGTCATTCACTAGTCAATAATTTCATAAATTACTCGTCGTTTTAAACAAATCTTCCTAAAGTAATCTCAAGAATCTACACAAGATACGAGTATTGTTTTGAACTCCTCAGAACCTAAAACATGAAAGAAATAACATAAAACATGAAAAACTGCTAAAATATTGCATTGAATGTCTTAAGGTAATGAGCCAAAATGAATAGAGAAGTTCAATACATAGTTATATCAAGTCTTGCAGCTACAGTGTTTGTATTAGATTTAAAAACTCCAACCAAAGTGCAATCTAACGAGCATGACTTCTAGTGCAATTTTTATCAATTCTTTATGCTCTGCTCCCCCAAAATTAGGTTAAGACTGAAAGAGAATATCAACTGAAAACTATAAAAAATACATACACAATGTGTGTGTGTGTGTATGTTCTGTAAACTCTAAAAAATACATACACAGAGTGTATGTGTGTGTGTGTGTGTGTGTGTGTGTGTGTGTGTGTTCGTTCTGTAAACTCTAGCACAATGTAATAATCATCATTTACAAAAAAAAAAGGAATAAGGGTGGTAGAAGAAAATATTAAAATATTCTCGTATCTGAATATTCTTTATTCTCTTCTCTAGAATATGAATAAGAATATGGGACCCTACAATTGCACCAGTGGTGATACACACACACACAACGATTGATATTATATATACATTATATATACATATATGTGTGTGTGTGTGTGTGTGTGTGTGTGTGTGTGTGTGTGTGTTGTGTGTGTGTGTGTGTGTGTGTGTGTGTGTGTGTGTGTGTGTGTTATATATAGACACACACACACACACAACAATGATCAAAAAACACCGATTCAAGTATGCAGAAAAGCCACATGTGAAAAAGAGAGAAGGCTTAACGCATTTTTGGCTACATCGCCTTTATCAGAGCAAAGTAGAATGACATTCTACTTTGCTCTGATGAAGGCGATGTAGCCGAAAATGCGTTAAGCCTTCTCTCTTTTTCACATGTGGTTTTTCCGCATACTTGAATCTGTGTTTTTTTTATCATTGTTGCGCGCGTGCGTGCGTGCATGTGTGTGCGTGCACACGCGCGCACACACACACTGGTACCTTGGTTTACAAATGCCCCTCTTTACGAACTTTTCGGGTTACGAGCCCGATTTCTTCGGAAATTTTAATCGGGTTACGAACTTTACCTCAGGATACCAGTTTGTTGATACGCATATGGCCGATCTAGCGCGTAGTGGCACGGCGATCATGCCTCAGTTTTCCAGTGCCTCCCGCCTAAATTCTTTGCAAGGATTTACATTTTTTTTTTCAGATTTTTGGCTATTTGAACATAAAAGTTGTTATTATATATATCTCATCATGGGTCCCAAGCCAGTGGTAAGGTTCAAGGCAAGAAAACATACGTGAGAATTGCACACAGACATCACAATAGCGTGATGCATCAATGAACAAATCCACAAGGGTCGTGACGAGGATTTGAATCTACGTCCGAGATCTTTCCAGACGCTTCCTTAATCGACTGAGCTACGACATGGTAAAAAGAGTTGAAACCAGAAGTTCTACTGGACTTACTTGGATCCTACAGCCTCTCCAAGTCACAAATCAGGATTTTACACAACTCCCCCACACACTCGAGCTATGTCAATAGGCTGTTCTACCTCTTCGCTCTTACTTCATTACACACAGAAATCACAATAGCGTGATGCATCACACTATTTGTGTATTTGTGGCCTTTGTGGATTTATTCATTGATGCAACAATGATGGATTAATTCATTTCCCATTATTTCTTATAGGGAAATTTGCTTTGGTTTATGAATTTTCGGGTTACAAATTGTATCCAGGAACGGATTAAATTTGTAAACCGAGGTACCCCTGTATATGTGTGTGTGTGTGTATGAATGTGTGTATGTATTTGTATGTGTGTGTATGTGTATATACACACGGTACAATTTTTAAGGGATTAAAGAGTTATGTTATACATGAGAGTGCAGATTACTTCCACACATGGATGGACCCTGAGAGAATATGAAGCATCTCACCTGGAATCTTGGCCTCACACCACAATACAATAATCTCTCCAGTACAACAAGGCTGCACTCACACCCTTCCTCTCCAATGCAAGCTTGTCATTTACAACCAAAATATCATGGCAACAAGTACAGTAACAGAACACAATAAACCAATGATTTTTTTCTAACCTCAACTTCCCCCCTACCCTCATATTTAAATTACACTTTACAACTAAGACTTTCCAGTAATGGGTATACTAAAAGAAATCTTCAACATGAAGAAAACCCATTTGTTACTGGGTGCATTAGTCAAAAGAATTTAGTTGATAGATTACAAAATTGTTTTGTATAATGAGCATTTTATTACCATACAGGTTTAAATTGCAAAAATACACCATAAAATGTTATTCAATATTTGTTAAAAAAAAAAAAAAAACTGTACTGTTCCATACAACTATTACATATACAGGTACATCTTATTTATTACCTCTTCTTTTTCTTTTGTTATCTGAACCAGAAATTGTTAAACTACAATTGAAATAAATCCTAGATACTTCTTGCTATCATATTCTTGGCATGGATTCTGCTGGTTGAGTGAAACTATCAATTCCCTTCTTTGCTGCAAATGATAAGTCATCAATTGATTTCTTAGCAACATCTGAAAATTCATCAACAGATTTCTTTGCCACTAAAGAAATATCATCAACAGAACGAAGCGCCGATTCTGTGATTTCTCCAATAGAACGTTTGGTATTAGAGAGTATTTCATTTGTACTACGCTTGTATGTGAACATCAGCTCCTCGACCTCTCTGTTTATTTTGGAGATCACAAATTCCATTGCATCACGACCCTGTAAAAGAAATATCTACTAATATATACATACATTGATTAAAGTTGTCCGAATTTTCCCTCTTGATAAATTTTATTAACATTCTTTTCTCACATTCATGTTATTAGTACAAATACAAGGCAAATAACAGTCTGCATGTAACTAATAGCCAGCATGGGAATTTGGGGAGGCAAATATAAATTTTTTGTTTAAGTCTTCAACTCCAATTCTAGTTCTAATGTCCTGTGCATGTTGCATAATTTACACAATTTTGAATATATTTTTAAAAAATTAAACCACACAAATACTATGGCAGAAAAAGATTCAACGGGTATAAACATAGAAAATTACACATACATGTACAGATTCATCTAGAGTACATAGCACACATGCACGTGCACACACAAAGTTCAAGCTGGGCTAAAATTCAACCCAAGTAAAATGTAAGGTAATGAAACTCGGCAGAGGAAATAGGCCAGACACAGGATACCGAATGGGAGAAGAAGTCCTTCGTGAAACGGTCAAAGATCTAGCAGGAGATATGCCAAACCTGTCTCCTGAAGCCCACATCAAAAGAACAATATCAGTGGTGTATGTGAAGCTGGCTAACATCAGAACTGCCTTCAGAAACCTGTGTAAGGAATCCTTCAGAACCTTGTATACCACATAAATAAGGCCAATCCAAGAGTATGCAGCCTCAGCATGGAGCCCGTTACCTTGTCAAACACAAGACGGAGCTAGAAAAAGTTCAGAGGAATGCCACTAGGCTAGTCCCAGAACTAAGAGGCATGAGTTATGAGGAAAGGCTACGTGAACTGCACCTCACATCACTGGAAGACAGAAGAGTTCGGGGAGACATGATCGCCACATACAAAATTCTCAGGAAAACTGACAGGGTAGACAAGGATGGATTATTTAACATGGGTGGTTGTCACGAGAATCTCTCAAGGAAAAGAGATTGACCCTATTCCACAACATGTCTGCATATTCAACAACAACATGTTCTTAGGAGCCGTGTCTAGATGAGCCCGATACCACCCTACCTCCTCCAGTACCCGTCAGACCAACGCACCTGGTGTCTGGGAGCACACGCCACATGCCGGTTAACATGCACCTTGATAGTTTGTCTGCTGGCTGGCAATTATCTGCACACTAGTGCTACCTACACGGGCTCACCCGTGTGTATATAGAAGCCAACCAACCTCCACTAAGCAGAATACTCTCAGTGCTCATACGTGTTGAACCTGCTTCCACACTACCCTGTGTGGTGGTAGATTTATGCAGTTTTGTACATAGTTTTCCAGCACCACTTATTTTGATCTTTAACATAACATTAACTTGTTTGTTTGCTTTTCATTTTTGCACTGTGTTATTAAGCCAAGTCATAGAGGAACTATTTTTATTTATTATAAATTGTCAGTTATTTTTTGTCATAGAAAAGTATTTAAATTTTTATTCTTTGTACTTTATCCAACAGCTACCACACTGTGAAGAGTTCTACATAGCAGTTTTATTTACTTTGTTTTTACTTTTTTTTTTGTTTAATGTGATTTGCATGCCATCTGTCCTAATAGCCACTGCTCTATTAGTCATTTTACCGTGAAATTAAAATGGGGGCCTGTCCAGGAGCTCCGGAGTCTGCAAGGATGGTACACACACAAAGGGACAAGGGTGGAAGT